CCTCAAATATCTAGGGGCACAGACATAGACTCTATTCTGTTTTACTGTTGGTTTCAAAAAAATCTAACTGTAACTTTACAGCGAACCACAAGGTTTATGTTCTTTAACTCAAGGCACGCATCCGACACCGATTAAACTCGTGGGGTTGGCAACTACGCCAAGTCTGACATTTATTACATGAGAAAAATTACTTGATCCCGTTACAAAAGTAGTTTACCGCCACGAGATGCAGGAATATTTCACCTGTTGCTCTGCATTAGACAGCGTTCCGCACTTGTCAAGCCGTTCTAAATCTAAATTATTTAAATAATATGGAAAAACGCATTCTTGTCAAAATAAATTATGGAAGCTTATTTCAAGCTGGTGCCCTTTTCCACTGAAATTTCCTTTGAAAGAGGCGTCATTCACTGTACGAACTGCGGAAACTTTCGAAAAATAATCCATTGTCTCACAAGTCTATGCATGTCTGTTGATCAAGCAACATGATTGCAGATGATGTGCGAGCACGGTTTCGGCGTTGTTGCACTTTTTCTTCCACTGAACGGCGAAGGTGTGAGAAAATGCCCTCAAGCCGAGGCCGAGGTCTTGTATCTGATGATTCTAAATGGACGAAGGACGAAGTAGAAACCCTTTCCAATTTCTGAACATGAAAAGTTCACTTTTGCACTGGTTGCCAGACCTGCAATTCATGTATACTTTTATTAAAGTAAATGATGTGACTTGCAAAGATTTTTTAAATGCACTGCTTTGAAAATAAATTTCATAAATAACTGATTGGAATGAATACATAATTTTTGATTTGCAGTTTGATTTGTAGACCTAATGAGTGATCACTACTGTCCAGTTCTGAGCAATATCCGCAACGAACGTGTATTTTATGACAGTAGACCACCTCTAGGAAAGGCCAAGTTTGATGTATAAGTTCCTTCTCCCCCCCACCCATTAAAATCTAGGAGTCTTACTGGATCCGGGTTTAACGCTTGAATTAAAGTTCACGACGTATGCAGTTTTGTGAGGTTGTACAAAAAAACATTTGTTTTAAGTTACTGCATAGAGAAATAAATAGTGCAGAGGGTCAGAGTAAGGTGAATAGATTGTGTACGGCTTTTCCCTTATGTTCATTTTGTTGTTAGCTTGTTCCATTATTGCGACTTTCAGTACCTTCGCTTTTCTTCAATTTCCCTCTTATCCAGTTACCTTGCTGTGTTGCCATTGGATGACGTGGTTCTTCAGGATGCTTTGTTCTGCCACCACTGAACCTGCTTATGCAGGCATGTGTTCCCGTATTGTGCTTTAGAGTTTTCGTCTAGTTTCTTCGATACAAGTGTCGCCACAAATGCAACCGAGCGATACACTACTCCAGAGGTATGTCTTTGTGGTAGGATACGTTTCTTATGCAGAAAACCTCTTAGCTTCTGCGAGAAGGAGGATATTGTCCTTGTGCTATAAGCCGTTGTTTCCTTTTACTCAGATCCCTTGGTAGCGAATCATTGTCAGAGGGCTGTCATAAAATTTGTTCGAGACGTAGGCGATTAGGTTAATCGGTTCTGTTCAGCTTTCGGTGTACCTTTGGAACTTCTAGTTGAAATTAATTGTTCTATCTCGTCCTTTATCTATTCCACTTAGTTAACTTCATGCCAAATCAAACCCATGGGTAAGTTTAGTAAATTTAATCGAATGGTTGAAGATACTTTATCAAGTAGGCGTACTTCGATGTACTAAATTGTACATGTATAAGTAGATGCACAAAAATGGCTAACTTTTGCGATACACGCCGATTCGAAGGTCATAATTTCGAGTAGGTGAGCTTTACGAAAATCTTTCTCCTGTCGATTTTCATGTAGCGCTGAGTTTTCTGCAGAGGGCCCTAAATTTGTACCTCAGCCGACTATTCGTGCAACGTCGCTTGTTTCGCTGTGTTTGAGTGCGTGCCTCCTGCCTCGTTTCGCTGTGTTTGAGTGCGTGCGTATCGGCAGAGAACCAGACTTCCCCATGTGCTCGCTCATGCGGGTGCCATGTGTGCTTCTCGGCGTATTGTTGACTCTACAGCGACGACGGTCGTCAGGTTTCCCGGCGACCGTCGTCGTCATCTTTCAGTGTTTGAGTCATTCGGTTCGTTGCCAACCAATCCTGTGCGGACGGGCAGGCGGGGTCGACCGTGGCCTCCACGGCTCACATTCTTGTCTTGACCTGAAAGTTGTTTATTCAAACGTCGTTATTGTACTCTGCGAACGTCGGGACCGTCAGCGATGACTTTGACAGCTTTGTCGATGAGGCTTTCGTCCCAATGATCACCGTCCCCCGTGGTGCTTCGTGGCTCTTTCGTCAACGCCGCCTTTCTCAATTCTCGGTCCTCGGTCCTCGGTGCTGACGACATTTGCCTCAACGCTGTTGTGTCTGTTCGGTAAGCCTGGTAAGATCATTTCACTTAGCCAGATGTTTTGCAGGCGGCAGGCAAGAACGACCAGCGTAATAAAGAGAGGGACAAATTTTATTGCCTTGCGCCCTGTTATGACCTGAGGGTGACAAGAGATCGGATGTTCATTTAACACATATCCGACCTTTCGACCGAACTGAGGCATTCGCAGCTATTCCCTGGTGCGACTGATACTGGTTCGGTCGAAACTTCGTCTCTCTGTTAAACGAAGAACGTATTTCTTGTCCTCTGATGCTCATAATAGGACCGAATGCGCTAAACGCTTGTTCTTTCTTTTCTTTATGGGGATTTTCACCTTCATAAATGAACACCGTGTTGGGATTGAATAAAATTATTAATTTTCAGTTTTATTACTGTTTATTGTCGTATCATTAATTTCTTGTCTTTCCTTCTGCTACCTGTGGAGCCATAAGACATCCGTTTCTAGTCATCCATGGCATGGTGTGGGTAAGTGTTACAAAGCTTTTTTAGCAAAATGGCGATACGACATTCCTGTCAGCTTCGGAGCACCTTACACTTCGGGTATACTGCCGTGTTGTCCTCGAAGCGGGCGCTCATATGCTGTTTTGTGCTCTGACGTCGGCTCCACAGCGCATTAGGTAGGTTTCGAATTTCCGTTCAGTGCTGGTGTATGGTGCATCCTCCTTGTCTGGTTGATGCAATGCGGCATTTTTGATTCAAATCGAATCCATGATGGAGGGTAGACTAATTGTGGATAAAGTGCTTTCTTAGCATATTTTAACTCCTATGTTTCAACAGGTACCGTTTGAGTACATCCAGATTCTCAAGTTAGTTTTAGCAGATTGCCAATTTCTTGAGCCAATGGTTGTTGGTGATTATTGGGCCAAAAGTAACGAGCTTTCGAAATTGCAAACTATCTCTTTTCAGACTTCATTGTGGAGTTATCAGAATCTACTTCCTTCGGTTGCTGAAGCGAGCCATATGTGCCATTGCCAAGAGCGAGATGTCAGGAACGTCGTAGCTAACGGCCGGTCGGTGATTTTTCAGCACGCGCTTAATTGCATTGGTAATTATTTTGATAGACGGCTACATTTTGGAGTCTCAGTTTGCGAGGCTCCGTCCGTCTGTAGGCCTCCGCTCTTCAGCTTTTACTTTTCACCTGTGCGTTTTGACGGATATGATTCCAGTCATCCAGCTTTATGCTTCCCAAACGCTATTCATGTCTAAGAACCGTCATTAAAAAATTATAGGAAAAATTTGAGTAAAGTTCTTAATACCGTCTTCCGAAAATTATATGGGGCGGTGGTCACACGAGAGCACCTTAATAAATGATGATTAACTGCCATCAGTCTTGTAATTTCATCTAAGCGCATCCTCATTTCATGGCACTATCATGCTTATCTCCAGAAAGTGATACGATGTCCCGCTGACTTTCCGTCACAGTATGCAGTGTACATTCCCTTTACACAAATGAACGATTAAGGCGTGGGAAAGTTCGTCATCGCGTGGTTAGAAGTCAACTATTTACTCGTTGGTTGGCTGTCTTACGGATTATTGGAAACCTTTATGATTACCCATAAGATTATAAATAATACTTCACTATACTCCACTAAACTTCTGCTGAAGTGAGGGCGTGGAAATGCTGCAGGGGCCCGGTCCGGCACGTTAAGAGAGAGTGATTGCCCACCACTCGTTAGTGATGTGTTTCTGTGGCCAAGCTTCATAAGTGCTGCATTTCTCTAAATCCTTTGAGCTGGATGAATTCCCTAACATCGCCTAAGAACAATATCGGAGTTGTGTCGACTTGCTTCTTCGGTGGCCCACACTGAGGACTAGTCGAATGAAGCAGAAGAGGTCCTTTGTGAAGAATAAAGATCGTTGCTGTGTTTTGGTTGTGGCTAACTCTTCATGGCAGACAACAGACTCGATATACAGTTTGCTTCGGTTAAGTACTATCTTCTGTTATTACCCAGTTCGAGAATTTTCCTTAAGGTGTGGGTAACGGTAACTATGTGGCTGACCGTATGGTAAAAATGTCGGTGCATTATTATGGTGCATTTTGCTCAGAACATTTTTCTTAAGCAAATGCCGTGTTATGCATAGAGTGCAAACGGTGCCGTGCTTCGTTTGTCTTCTTGAAATAAAGGAAAAACATGGTTCGCTATCCGTTTTTGGTGCGGGTTGTTTGTATCACTATCCTTGAATCACTATTCCTTAATGACATGAAAAGATTTGCCAGCTTTTGGTAGCTCATCACTACTGTATAGTCGATGGCTTCATGGACGGCGTAGCAAATGAAAAGAACCACCGTGTAATTTTGATCCTTGAGCTCAACATCAACCTCCTTCCGCTAGCGCATTATTTTTCACCTTGTATACGAAACGAATCTAATCCACACTCTGGTCACCGGGCTTATAATGTGAAGTCGTTTGGTGTGGTCATTAACGAGAGTTTCATATGATCTGATCACATGAGTTAACTCATCAGCAAACTATTGGAGGCTAAGAGTTTTCTTCTTTGCTTACGCTTGCTTAGAGCTCCATTTTATTTACGCCGGCGATTTACAGGGTATTATGTAATTGCAGTTATTATTTATGCTTCTCTTTTCTATTTTGGAGCCTTAACAGGAGGTGATTCTGAGCTACTGCGACAATCTATTACGGTAATTGGGACATTAGAATTAATAAATAATAAAATACTGAATTCTAGAATCATTTTCCGCCGTGATCTGGTCACTCATCAGTTAGACGTATAAACATTCGACACTGAGAGCCAGTAATACAGTAAATATTTGTAATTGTCATGCCCTAGCAGATTGCAAAATACCGAAGAAAACTTTTCTGATTGAATTTTCTTGTCAGCAACTAATTAGAGCTGATTTTTTAGCACTGCTGAATTCACCTGTGTATCGGCCACGGCTGTTTTTGTTGCTATACACAAACGAACGCCTTGATGATGTCTCGGTGCGGCCTTGAAGCAGTTTCACCTAAACTTTGAAAACGCATGTAGTGCTGTTTAACTACTTGTCTATCAGTGAAAAGTGATTGATGACCTGAGTGATGTTGTGAGACGATGAGAAATTTTGCATGTGAATGTTTATCAGTCAAATTTGTACTCAAGTCAAAGTTAACGGTTAATGAGACTCTTAAATTTCTGAGGATGTCGAGCATTTCCTATTAATTGAACTCAGTCCTACACTGCGGTCAGTCAGATGAAATGATGAGGAAGTCGTCTTTTGGTCGTTTGATTTGAACTCTAGCGTCTACAAATCATTACCTTATCAAATCGATACACCCAGATTACAACAGATTTGTTTCAGAGTTAGGAACAATGGTATCGGTACTCTGAAGTTGTCTGCTAGCAGTATGATTTCACCCTTAAATGCCAGGGAGTATACGCTCTATAGTATATATCTTCTCCTCAGTCGTAGCTTGGAGCACCCAGTGAAGATACGTGGCAAGCCGTAGAGGAAATTCTACTCCTCCTCACTGTACTCTGAATTTTGTGCAAATGAATTTGCTAATCCTTTCATCAATTCATACTGCATTAGACGCAAAATTATGGAAATTAGTCGTTTTAATTATGCAAATAATGTTTCTGAGGAATCCGTATTGCTCAGTAACTTTCCACAAATCATCTTTCCAGAATGAGTCAAAGACTTTGTATAATGCAAAGAATTTCGATTTTTATTCTCTGTTCTTTTCCATCCTGTGCCTGCCTGAATCCGTCTTTCTCTTCCCTCTAGATTTACTCAAGCTGTCGTGTACTCGTGTTCGCCATAACAGGCATGAACACTTTAGGAGGATTATTTGAGCCACAAAATGTTTCGTTCCGTCATTCTGCCTTCTGGATCTCCTTTTGCCATGTCAATCAAGAGAGGTTCACAGATGCCAGCACTTCATATATTCCACACTCCTTATTTCGCCCTCGTCGTATTCCATCTGCTCCTGCAGCTGTGCCATTTTTCAGTTAATGATGAAAGGCTTTATTCATTCAAATTCAAGGGTACGAGGTCCAGCGTCGGCATTCATCTTTCGTCTAGATATAGCATCATGCAACGAATCTTGTTTCACATCCACCTCGTGGTTGAATATGAACTTATATTCTACCCAATAAATATGGTTTATGAAAAGCACCATCCCTTAAAACATCGTTTGTAATAAGTGCGAGCTGACCGTAGCGGGCAAAATTATGCGAATTGCAGCTGGCACTGCATCTGCTCAAACGAACCACGGGACCATGGCTTAAATGGCCCACTAATCAAGTTGAGGCAATACGTCGTGTAATTTGGTCGTGGAAGAGAAGAGTTATGCTTTATTTGACATACTCCGGTGTACGAACATATTTTGTGTTTATGCAGT